GTTATTGTAAGTCATCACTCAGTCATCAGTCAATTATCATCAGTCATTGTCAGTCATCAGTCAGTTATTGTCAGTCATCAGTCAGTTATCATCAGTCATCAATCATCAGTCAGTTATAGGCAGCTATAGATCCCCGTTTCTGGTTCAGACGAGACCCTCCCCTCACAGTCCGGGCCGCTCACACACAAAACCTGACCAATATCCCCGCTGCCTCAACACAAGTTTTTTAGGGAGTAGGAAACAGCTCTACCTTCGTACACCCAATTCACACAGAACAAGATATTTTTTTTAATGGTTACACAAATCTGCTGACTAGAGTTTCCCAGATTTCTATTGATTAGCTGACGAGTTTCCTTGGTGTTTACATTACCCAGCTGACGAGAAGACGTGGTGTGTTTACTTTTAACTAGCTGGTGAAAGTTTCCTTGTTGACACTGATCAGTTGAGGAAAGTCGGTGCTGTGTTTCTATTGATCACAGATAAAGGCAGACGCAGACCTCTTCGTGTTTCCCCAAAAGTTGTGGTATACGACGTACTCCAAACATACAGTGGGGCGCCTGACCTAACCCAACCACACCCAACCTAAGCCACACCACACCTAACCCAACCTAAGCCACACACCACACCTAACCCAACCTAAGCCACACCACACCTAACCCAACCTAAGCCACCACACCTAACCTAAGCCACACCCTAGCAACCCTAGCCACACACCTAGCAGCAACCAAGCCTAACCCAACCTAAAAGCCACACACCACCCTAGCAACTAAACACACCACACCTAACCTAAGCCACACCACACCTAACCTAAACCACACCACACCTAACCCAACCTAAGCCACACCACACCTAACCCAACCCAACCAAACCTAAACCAACTTTCTCGTCTTTCTTCACGTTATATTATTCACCTTGTTAAAATCCTCCTCCCCAAAAGCGTTTCTCCTTCTCCTCGTTCTTGTCAGCTTTTCGTGAGTTCTTGTTCAAAACTTTATCCACCTCTCTCTCTCTCTCTTTGTCTTCCACTAGTCAGTACCTGCAGGCATACTTAGGCATTACTTTCTCAACTTTTCTCTGCGTCACTGGCGTCTTAACCCGCAGCAGAGTACCATGGCGGGGTGAGGTGGCAGAGGAGGAGGCAGGGGAGGGTGAGATGGAAGGGGGATGGGACAGGGAGGAGAGCCAACTTGACCCCCATCCTACCCTACCATGAGTAATCTCTCTCTCTCTCTCTCTCTCTCTGCTCCAGGAACCCCAGTTTGTGTCGACAGGTTCACGAAACTTTGTTAAGTGTTGACTGAGAAACACCAAACTCCATATTTAGTGTTGACAGTGTTTCGAACCCTATTTTGTGTTACCAGAAGTCACGGTATTGACAGCATTAGTTTAAACACCATAGGAGACTCATAAAATCCTTAGATAGTAACGGTAGACGTTCTTGAAGCCTCACCCTTGTTTGTCCTGGGGGTAAAAATGAGTCTTTGGTTGGAGGTTCCCCGGCAGGAGGTTGTCAAGCGGAAGTTGGGAGGGGTAGGGGGGGGGGTGTGAGGGTGATAAGGGAGGCTGTTTACTACTTGGTGATGACGAAGGTTACAAGGAGGTGGTGTGAGAGTTTTACATCTATTTTTACCACCATCATCATCATTAACACACACCTACTATTACCTATCACTATCGTCATCACATCATCATCACCATCACCATCACCACCACCACCACCACCATCATGTCTACCTTCTCAACCAAATAACACATTTAATAATCATCAATTTCTCACCAGATCAGAAGCGTTAACAAAATCCTAATTAAATATCATTCCAAAATTAATCATTATGACTGACACACACTAATTATTACCTTAATTATAACGACTAATCACTGCTAATTGCAAAGTTATTTCCCATACAGGTAAAATTAAGCCGTACTAAAGCTCTATTTAATGAGCCTTACACCTGCCCTTACTCACCTGACGAATGGAAGTTTAAATCTCCAATCGTAATAAGGAACACATTTCACCTTTGACCTTTGACCTAACCTAACCTAACCAAACATTTAATTAGAGCCGTAGTGTTTACAGTATATACACAGTGAGTAATATGTTGCAAGAACTGACCATTATTAACTCTCTTCCTGACCTCCTGTAGCGAAGATGAATAGGAGGAGGAGGAGGAGGAGGAGGAGGGGGAGGAGGAGGACGAAGAGGAAGAGGAGGAAGAATATGAAGAGGAGAAAAAAGAAGAAGAAGAAGCAGAAAAAAGAAGAAGAAGAAGAAGAAGAACAAGAAGACGAAGAAGAAGAACAAGAAGACGAAGAAGAAGAACAAGAAGAACAAGAAGAACAACAAGAAGAACAAGAAGAACAACAAGAGCCACCGTACAAAATAAACATCTCGTAAATGTAACCCAGCTTTAATAATCCCCCTTTAAAGTATACACAAGTCCCTCTACTGATGATGGGGACAAATTATTCCCTCCCTAATTCCCTGGCAACATCCCCCACC